TAACATGGTGAAACCCCATTTCTACTAAGGATACAAAAAAATTAGCTGGGCATGGTGGTTCATGCCTGCAATGCCAGCTACTCGGGAGGCTGAGGCAGGAGAATCACTTGAACCCAGGAGGCAGAGGTTGCAGTGAGCTGAGATTGTGCCACTGCACTCCAGCCTGGGCAATAGAGGGAGACTCCATCTCAAAAAGAAGAAGAAGAAGAAGAAGAAACAGGCTGGGAGTGGTCTATTTTGACATTCCACCTCAAAAAAATTAATTTAAAAATAAAATTTAAATTTACAAAAAATCATTTCACAAATGATAATTTGATGATTGCTGCCCTGGAAGGGGGAAAAAAAGACTTACTCTAAGAATACAACAAAGACTGTTGGTGGGCTAGAAGCATCAAAAGTCCAGACACGGTAAGACAAGTTTTGTTTTCATTTGTTTTGTGTTCAGACGGAGTCTCGCTCTGTCGCCCAGGCTGGAGTGCAGTGGTGCGATCTCGGCTCACTGCAAGCTCCGCCTCCCATGTTCACGCCATTCTCCTGCCTCAGCCTCCTGAGTAGCTGGGACTACAGACGCCCGCCACCACGCCCAGCTAATTTTCTTGTATTTATAGTAGAGACCGGCTTTCACCATGTTAGCCAGGATCTTCTGACCTCGTGATCCGCCCACCTCGGCCTCCCAAAATGCTGTGATAATAGGCATGAGCCACTGCGCCCGGCCAACAAGTTTTAAATAATGTTCTAAGGCATGATTTTGCTTCCAATTGGCCATTTGAACAAAGCAATTACATCATCTGAATTATGCACCTACCAAACTGCCACAGTTATTAGAAATCAGACAACTGCCAGGCACAGTGGCTCATGCTTGGAATCCCAGCACTTTGGGAGGCCAAAGCAGGAGATCACTTGAGTCTAGGAGTTCAAGACCAGCCTAGGTAATATGGCAAAACTCCATTCTACAAAAAAGTAAAAAAATTAGCTGGGCATGGTGGCTTACACCTGTAGTCCCAGCTACCCCAGAGGCTGAGGTGAAAGGATCACCTGTGCCTGGGAAGCAGAGGTTGTAGTAAGCCGTGATCCTGCCACTGCACTTGAGTCTGAGGGACAGAGGGAGACTCCATTTTTTTTCTTTTTGAGACGGAGTTTCACTCTAGTTGCCCAGGCTGGAGTGCAATGGCAAGATCTCGGTTCGCCGCAACGTCTGCCTCCCTGGTTGAAGCAACTCTCCTGCCTCAGCCTCCCGAGTAGCTAGGATTACAGGCATGCGACACCACATCCAGCTAATTTTGTATTTTTAGTAGAGACTGGGTTTCTACATGTTGGCGAGGCTGGTGTTGAACTCCCGACCTCAGGTGATCCACCCCCCCACCTCGGTCTCCCAAAATGCTGGGATTACAGGCATGAGCCACTGTGCCTGGCCTTTTTTTTTTTTTTTGAGACAGGGTCTGGCTCTTCTCAGCTCACTGCAACCTCCATCTCCCAGGTTCACGCCATTCTCCTGCCTCAGTCTCCCAAGTAGCTGGGACTACAGGCGCCCGCCACCACACCTGGCTAATTTTTTTTATTTTTAGTAGAGATGGGGTTTCACCGTGTTAGCCAGGATGGTCTCTATCTCCTGACCTCGTGATCCGCCGCCTCAGCCTCCCAAAGTGCTGGGATTACAGGATTGACCCACCCCGCCCGGCTTTTTTTTTTTTCCTTTTTGGAGATGGAGTCTCACTCGGTCGCCCAGGCTGGAGCGCAATGGCGCGATCTCGGCTCATTGCAACCTCCAAGTCCTGGGTTCAAGGGATTCTCCTGCCTCAGCCTCCCAAGTAGCTGGGACTACAAGCATGCACCACCATGCCTGGCTATTTTTTGTATTTTTAGTAGAGACGGGATTTCGCCATGCTGGCCAGGCTGGTCTCGATCTCTTGATCTCGTGATCCACCTGCCTCGGCCCCCCGAAGTGCTGGGATTACAGGCATGAGCCACTGTGCCCAGCCAAAAAATTAAAAAAAAAATAAATAAAGATGCCAGTCTCACTATGTAGCCCAGGCTGGTCTCAAATTTGTGAGGTCAAGCAATCTTCCTCCTGCCTTGGCCTCCCAAAGCACTGGGATTACAGGTATGAGTCACCATGCCTGGCCTAGAGTAATTTCTTTTTTTTTTTTTTTTCTCGAGACAGAGTTTTGCTTTGTCACCTAGGCTGGAGTGTAGTGGCATGATCTCAGCTCACCGCAACCTCTGCCCCCCGGGTTCAAGCAATTCTCCTGCCTCAGCCTCCCAAGTAGCTGGGATTACAGGTGCAGGCAACCATGCCCAGCTAATTTTTGTCTTTTTAGTAGGGAACAGTTTTTGCCATGTTGGCCAGGCTGACCTCAAACTCCTGACCTCAAGTGATTCGCCTGCCTCAGCCTCCCAAACTGCTGGGATTACATGCAAGAGCCACTGCGCCCGGCCCCAGAGTAATTTTGTTAGAGTCTCTCTCTCCCACAGTGTTTGACTGCTGATGTCTCTGCTCATTCGTTGGCTTTGTGGGATTTTTTAATTCTTGTTTTTATTTTTGAGTATGTCTTCCAAGGGGTCATTCCTAAATCAGCCTAGTCTACTGGTCAACCAATGGTTGTTTACTTAGATTTTGGGGTCAAAACCCATAAAACAGGAATGTTTACAGCCTTGAAGAAGGATATGTGTATGGAATAAAAAATGCATTAAAATTTTAAGCTGTTTACAAGTCAGCCCCAACTTTTTCTTTCCACTGGGCCTTCTCTTGGGTGAACTTTTCCAGGTGCAACTCTTGTTCATGCAGAGACCTGTGAATGAACAGGACACATTACGTTTCCTCCACACACTGAACATAAAATGGGATAGATAATATACATACCCTCATCCAAAAATAGGGAAGATGGCCGGGCGCGATGGCTCACGCCTGTAATTCCAGCACTTTGGGAGGCCCAGGCGGGCGGAT